AATTTCTCTGATGATTAGGGTCATTGAGCATCTTCTCATATGTCTATTGTTCATCTGTTTGTCCTTTTCGGATAAGTATTAATTCAGGTCCTTTGCCCATTTTTTAATTGGATTGCTTGTATTTTTGGTGTTGAGTTGTATAAGTTCTTTATAAATTTTTAATATTAATACTTTATCAGATGTATCATTGGGGAATATGTTCTCCCATTCAGTTGGTTGTCTTTTCATTTTGTTGATGGTTTCCTATGATGTGCAAAAAATTTTATAGTTTGATGTAATCCCATTTGTTTAATTTTTTTATTGTTTCCCTTGCCCAAGGAGATATATCAGAAAAAATATTGCTACAAGAAATGTCTGAGTCCTGGCCAGTTTGGCTCAGTGGTTGGAGTGTGGGCCTGAGGACCAGAGAGTCCCAGGTTTGGTTCCCGCTAGGGGCATGTACCAAAAAAAAAGTCTGAAATTTTACTGTTTTCTTCTGGATTTTTATGGTTTTGAGACTTACATTAAAGTACTTAATCCATTTTTGGTTTATTCTTGTGTATGCTATAAGAAGGTAATCTAATTTCTTTCTTTCTTTCTTTCTTTCTTTCTTTCTTTCTTTCTTTCTTTGTGTATCTATCCAATTTTTTCAACACCATTTATTGAATAAACTGTCTTTACCCACTGTCAGTTCTTGCTTCTTTTGTGATATAATAATTGACCATAAAGAATGGGCTTATTTCTTGGCAATCTATTCTGTTCCTTTGATCTGTATGTCTGTTTTTATGTCAGCACCATGCTATTTTGATTACTATGGCTTTGTGGTATAGTTTGATATCAGGTAGCATGATTCTTCCCACTTTGTCCTTTTTTCTCAAGATCTCTCTGGCTATTCAGTTTTTTCTGTAGTTTCATATCAATTTTTGAAATATTGGTTCTAGTTCTGTGAAATATGCCATTGGTATCATGAAACAAATTATGTTGAATTTATAGATTGCTTTGGGTAGTATGGACATGGTATCTGCTTCCACCTACTTGTCTCTTCTTCAATTTCTTTCTTCAGTGTCATAATTTTTTGAGTACAGGTCTTTTACTTCCTTGTTTAAATTTATTCCAATGTATTTTTTAATGCAATTGTGAATTTGATTGTTTTCTTAGTTTTCCTTACTGATAGCTTATTATTTGTATATAAAAATGCAACTGAGTGGCCAGTGTGGCTCAGTGGATTGAGCATCGTCCCATGGACTGAGAGGTCTGAGTTTGTTTCCTGGTCAGGGCACATGCTCGGGTTGCAGGCTTGATCCCCAGTAGGGGATGTGCACGAGGCAGCCAATGGATGTATCTCTCTCACATTAATGTTTCTATCTCTCTCCCCCTTCCTCTCGCTGTAAAACAATCAATAAAAACATATTTTTAAAAATAAAAACTAAAATCAATTTTTAAAAAAATGTAACTGATGCCCAGCCAGTGTGGCTCAGTGGTTGAGCATCAATCTATGCACCAAGAGGTCACCAGTTCGATTCCCGGTCAGGGCACATGCCCAGGTTGTGGGATTGATCCCCAGTGGGGGGCATGCAGGAGGCAGACAATCAATGTTCTCTCTTGTTGACATTTCTAGCTCTCTCTCCCTTTCCCTTCCTTTCTGTCTCTAAAATCAATAAATATGAGTTTTTCTTTTTACCTTGGAAGTATATTATTCAAAGCATAACATTTTAACTGTTTTGTATTTATTATGTACTCTGATATTTATTACCATAGATTCACCTTTCTGCCACTTAATTCTTTTTGTTTAAGTCTATCTTATGAGACAATAGTATTATTATTATATTTTTGCCTATTTCTGTTTCTCAACTAAAATACATGTATATAAGTTTTATATACATATATATACACATACAAATATACATATATATGTATTCAGAGGTATTTCATTATTCTTTTAAAAAATATGTTTCTGTTTTTTTGCCCATCTTTAACTTCTATGAGTACAGTAACTTTTATAGCAGAAGATTCTTTTGAGTATAGGAGACAAAATACAGTGTTTTTGAGAAATAATGATATTTATGTAAGCTAAAGGCATTGCTAATTTCTGCTAACTTAGAAGACTAGAGTTAAGGTTAGTCTTAATTCCACATTTCCAACAGCAAAGTGACCATGTTGAGCTGAAACAGACATAAAGAAGATCATCTGCACAATGTCAGATCCCTTATCACCAAACGTCTTTCCTAATAATGAATTTCTCTTCTCCATGAAAGATTAATGTTATTTCCAGTCTTCTTCCTCTTTCAAATCTATTCTCAGGATGTGGTGAGATGAAATAGGGTGAGATGTGTACACTGCGAAGCTTAATAACGCTTCCTTTTTTTTTTTTTATAATTTTTTTTTTTTATCCTCATCCGAGGACATTTTTCCATTTTTTGTACAGACAGAGTGGGAGGGAGAGAGAGGAAGAGAGAGAGAGGAAAACATCGATGTGAAAGGAACACATTGAGTGGCTGCCACCCGCACGACCAACCAGGGCCGGGGACAAACTGCAACCGAGGTACGTGCCCTTAGCGGGAACCGAACCCGGGTCTCTCCGGACCGCAGGCCGACGCTCTAACCGCTGAGCCAAACCGGCCAGGGCAATAACGCTTCCTTTTAATTCTTCATAGTAACAGGTAACTACTTGCTTCAACCAACTAGTGTATTGTAGACTGAAACATTTTATTTTATTTCATTTCATTTCATTTCATTTCATTTTATTTTATTTATCCTCACCCAGGGACATTTTTCTATATTTTGTTCAGATAGAATGGGAGGAAGAGAGAGAGAGAGAGACACATTGGCGTGAAAGGGACACATCGAGTGGTGGCCACCCACATGACCCAACCAGGGCCGGGGACAAACTGCAACCAAGGTACATGCCCTTAGTGGGCCACAGGCTGATGCTCTAACCGCTGAGCCAAACCAGCCAGTGCTAGACTGAAACATTTTATTTTATTTTTTTTTATCCTCACCCGAGGACATTTTTTCATTTTTTGCTCAGGTAGAGTGGGAGGGAGAGAGAGGAACAGAGAGAGAGGAACAGAGAGAGAGAGAGAGAAACATCGATGTGAAAGGGACACATCGAGTGGCTGCCACCCGCACAACCGACCAGGGCCGGGGACAAACTGCAACTGAGGTACGCGCCCTTAGCGGGAACCAAACCCGGGTCTCTCAGGACCGCAGGCCGACGCTCTAACTGCTGAGCCAAACCGGCCAGGGCTAGACTGAAACATTTAGATTCTGCCTGGTCATAAGACCTTTGCCACTTGGCCACAGGTCCATGCAAATTTATAAAGGCTTTTTAAAGCTACCTCTTATTAACTTTTGAAATCAGTATCAAAGACTTTCACGGTTATTTGTATTAAAGTTCAGAACATACGAGAACATTGCTCTTTGATGTAATGTACAAAGATAAAAATTTGTTAACATTACAAGGAGAACAAAGAATGGAATTGAAGTTGAAAACACCCACTAAATTCTGAGTCATCATGAAATACTAAATGAGTCTGATGACCCAAAATAAACTTAATAAAAAATAACACAGTCTGGCCAGTGTGGCTCACTGGGCTCAGTGTGGCACCAATAGGTCACCAGTTCGATTCCCTGTCAGGACAAATGCCCAGGTTGTAGGCCCAATTCCCAGTGAGGGGCATATAGGAGGCGGCCAATCAATGTTTTCTCTCATCAATGTTTCTATCTCTCTCTCCCTCTTACTTTCTCTCTCTCTAAAATCAATTAAGGCAAAAAAAAAAAAAAATCAGACAAAGACTTCTTTTAGTTTATTTGTAAATTTAGATATCATATGACAGTATAAGGCTTCAACTATATATTGTCTAGATTTTAAGTTGAGAATGTAATGATTTTAAAGTTCAGTACAGCTTTATACAAATCTATATACCATTAAAAATAAAAATATAATTTTGGAGTGTTTATAGAGTATTGACTTAAAAATTTAAAATATTTGAATTTTTATGTATCTGAGGAAAATATTTAGATTTTATTCAAAAAATAATAGTAATAGTGAAGCATTATCCATTGGGGGGGAAATGTTATTGACTGGTCACAAGCATTAGTCTAAATATTGACTTTCTAGAATTTTGATTTAAAATATTTGGATTTAAATATATATCGAGTCTTTGTTATTTGTTGTTAAAATGTTAAGAATTTTCAGTACTACAACAAAATAATTACATTGTTTGACTCTTCATTTATTAGGGCTTTTTATACTGAGGCAAGGTTCTTAGAATATTGCTTTGATAATAAACCCAAGGGAAAAGACGAAAGGATGCAAACAAGACCACACTGAAGAGATTATTCATAACAGTGACAGTAGGAAAGTGCATGTGGGAAAAGAAAAGTTTAAATCTTGTTTCAAAACCCTTGAGGAAGTAATCAATTTTCACAAATGTGAAGAACACATCACTGTGGTGGTTTTCTGGTTTAATGATTTTAAAAATTTAATACATATTGTGGTAAAAAATATTTCATAGTCAAAATATGTTTCAAATAGGAAATGAAGCAGTCGCCAGTGGAAAATGCAGTTATCTCCCATCTGTACAATGCATTGTCTTTGGGGATTTCGAGAACGACATAAAAGCAGACTTGTGAAAACTGTTTTTGGCGAGATCTGATTTTCATGTTCCCACACACATAATTTTTAAGAACTCATCTTATTAGTGGATCATACAAGAATATTCCTTTAAACTAAATAGAAATACTAAGAAGGTCGGTTACTAGCAGCTTTTAAAATTATATTTAGGTTTATAAACTTAAAGTTAGTAGAGCAGACTACCACAATGCAAATTTAAATATGAAAAATAATCCTGTCCATTTATGATAGGAAATCTGGGCCTACTAATTCCCAAACAATTCCCTTTTAATGCAAAACATCCATAGTAGAATTTTCCATTCCTCATTCTCTAATATGTCAATTGTTGAATTTAGTTTTATACAAAATACAGGCACTTTAAGGACAGAGTTAATAAATCACTCACCCAGTACTTGTCTTGAGGAGCTGGAAGTCCAGGTTTTATTTCTACAGTAATTGGTTAACAGAAGTTCCACTCTGTATGTTGTTTCAGTCAACCAAGATAATCTATTTCATGCACTAAGAAAGCAAAAGAAAGTCTGTAGAGCAGTATCAAGTTAATGATTAAGCTGTATAAACTCTCTTGTCGTTTTAAACATTGAAGGCTTAATTAAAGGAGAATTTTTGGCTGTTGCTTGTGGGAGGAAATCGAATGCAACAAAGAGCCCATGGAAAGCATCTAGAAATAACTGCTATAAACCACAGAACTTATATCATGTGTGCATGAACAATGGACATGGACAACAAAGCTGGGGACAGGGCGGGGGAGGGAGAGGGAGGAGAGAATCAGTGGGGGAAAAAGGAGAAACATCTGTAACAAAAATAAATTAATTAATGAAAAAAATAAATAAAAATAAAAAGCTGAAAAAAAAAAACTGCTATCAAATAATTATGTATAGTAAATGAAGACTTTTTATGTTTACTTTTGCTTCTGATTTCAACTATAAAAGCCAAGCGCTGTTCCATGGCTACAGGGCTCCTATTAGAGACCCTCACTGAAGTCGCTTTATCTGTACCTCCTAACTGTATGGGCAAGTTAGACAGGCAAGAGCCTGCTCTCTGTGTAGGAACAAAGGGAAAAAGCCACAGCCAAAAATGTTGGAGCACATTCTACATGTTAATTACGCATATACCATCCAGAGGCAGGTCTGTATACTTAGTTACCTGGCAACCATGGTAAAATGCCTGTTTCAAAATAGAAAAACTGGATTGAGATTGTTGCCATTTTCCATATGACCCAAATACTTTCTATGATGTGGTTCCGTTTTGTCTCTAGTCCCTGAAATTATGTTGAGAAAGGGCAAAATTTTAAAAATCTTTCAGTTAATCAGTATAATAATGGAATTTGAAACCTCTCATTCTACAAAACATGGAGATGTAAATATTTTATTTAGTTTGTTAATGTTGTTTCAATTTTATTTTTTCCATCACCATTTATCCCTCTATGCCCTGAAGATGTAAATGTTTTATATTATCATCCTCTGGGAACAACCCAAAGAGATATTTTCCTTGAACCCAATGGAAAAATCTACATTAAGATTTTTTTTGTGACATCGGCTTCAGGGAAGAAACCAAGAAACAATTTGGATGTCAATGCTTCAAAATTACAGGAAGGCAAAACAACTGGAGGCAAGTAGATACTTTTATACATTAGTCTGAAAAACAAGGGAAGAATATTCCTAGTTTGCCTCCTCATATGCCTTGGGGCCCGAAAATCATCCCCAGGCTCTCAGCATGCCCCCATTTCTGCCCCTGCTGGAGATTTAAGATTTATGTTCTAGAAAAATTGCAATAGATGAATACAGCTTTAGAGTCACTAGATATATAGCTGAGGAAAGTGTACAATAATGAAAACAAATAAATTAAACGTTAAGAGCTTTTCAGTTAACTGAAGTATTCAGTCCACTTAATTTGATCTCATGGAAAAGAGCCAGGGAAATAATCAACTTGACTTTGCATTCCCCTTGCCTCAGATCTCCTGCCAAACAGAGACTGCATGGCTTAGAATTCTGCTGATGTAATCCACATACATTAGCCCCCAGGGCACCGAGCAGGATGGGGAAAAAAGTGGAGAATGAGTCTCGAGGTGTAAACCAATAATATCCAGCACTTGTTTCATGTTTCAGAGGGAACACCCTAACCAAGTCTTAATTATTATTTTTTAAAAGACTTGCCAATATGCCTGGCCTGTGTGACACAGTGGATTGAGCATCATGCCATGGACTGAGAGGTCCCTGGTTTGATTCCCAGTCAAGGCACATGCCCAGGTTGCAGGCTAGACCCCCACTAGTGAGCGTGCAGGAGGCAGCCAATCGATGTTCTCTCACTGATGTTTCTATCTCTTTCTCCCTCTCCCTTCTTCTCTCTCTAAAAAATAAATTGATTAAATTTAAAAAATAAAGACTTGTCAATACGATTAGTGAAACATTTAAAATATTTTAATGTAGGGATATATTTTATAAATAAATATTTTCTTAAGAATAAATTTTACAAATTCGCTAAACATGTATATGTAGGCATATACAAATATATATTACATAGATTTGACTATACGGAATATAGAGACATAAATCAAGATTGAAATAAATAGAAAGTCATGCTTGAGTCTGAAGATGGGTAATACATAGCACAAGACTATGAGTTTCTAAGGGAGGGTATCACATCAGTGTATTTCATCAACACTATCATGGATCTAACAAGACTGGATCTAAGGGCAACATAACTCAAAGTACAGATTTCTAGTTTCTTATAACTACATTAGCTTTGGTAGTATGTACTATGGATACGTTTGATGTTTTCTCCATGGCCCAGGAGTCTCAAATGTTCTAACACTTTGGTCAAACATTGGGAATCTCATAGGATTTAACGTGACGACTATGTGATGAATTCAGAATCTTTATCAGAAGAAAATGAATAACTTACTGAGCTTTGGGTATGGCAGGGGTTAAGGATGAAACTAGAAAGTGCTTGAACTCTTAATAATACATTTTTTTTCTTGCAAATTTTCAGCAGTCCTGTTTATGAAAGGCTGTAAAAAGGTAAGAGAAGATCATGCAAGTTGATTATATTAATGTTGGAAATATTCACTGTCTGCCACCTTGCCTGTGAAAAGAGTACACTTTTCTGCCCAGTAACTTTGGACTGGGCCATGGTATTTTTGGCTCATTAAATGTAACAGAAGTGAGAACACATCAATAATGCTTTAAGGCACATTGCATTTTACAATAGATCTCTTCATTTTATTTTATGTTATTTTATTTTATTTGTCTAACTTGAGAACAAACAGATCCCACACAGGGGCTGTTCCTTAAGCCTGCCTGCATCCCAGAATGAAAAACACATGTATCGTAATCTCAGCCTCTCTGAAGCCTGGAATTGCAGTCTAAAAGTAACATGAACAAGGAATTGCTTTTCATAGACCTCCCTGAAATAGTCACTAAGTTGGAGACTAGTTTAATATTTTTCCTATGAGTAGTTGTTCTAAAATGTGTACAATAAATCTTTCTTTATATTTAATTTATTTTTTAATTAATTAATTTATTTTTGTTACAGATGTTTCTCCTTTTCCCCCCACTGATTCCCCCCTCTTCCCCTCCCTGCCCTGTCCCCAGCTTTGTTGTCCATGTCCATTGTTCATGCATACATGCATATAAATTCTGTGGTTTATCTCTCCACCGCTCTTCTGGGGATTGTTAGTCTGTACCTCACTTCCACATCTCTGGGACTACCTCATTCCTCAGACTGTTATGTTCATTATATTCCACAAATAAGTGAGATCATATGATAGTTGTCTTTCTCTGTTTGCCCTGTTTCACTTAGGATAATACTTTCCAGGTAACAAGAAGTGTTGGCGAAAGTGTGGAGAAAAGGGGACTCTGGTACCCTGCTGGTGGGAATGCAGACTGGTGCAGCCACTATGGAAAACAATATGGTGTTATCTCAAAAAATTAAAAATGAAACTGCCATTTGACCCAGTGATCCCACTTCCAGGAATAATCCCTAAGAAGCCTGAAACACCAGTCAGAAAGAATATATGTACCCCCATGTTCGTAGCAGCACTATTTACAATAACTACGATCTGAAAACAGCCCAAGTGTCCATCAGTAGATGAATGGATAAGAAAGCTGTGGTACATATACACAATGGAGTACTATGCAGCTGTAAGAAAGAAAGATCTCTTATCCTTGGAGACGACATGAAGGGACATGGAAAGTATTATCCTAAGTGAAATCTTTCTTTTTATTTACAGCTTTGGTCTTTATTTTTGGAGATTTGAACAAAAGTACTGAATAATTGAGTTAAAGTTAATTTAAATGGTCTCAAGAGTTGACATAAATGAAAAAGTAACATTTTCATTAATAAGTAAAGAATTTCTTTTTTAAACCCTTGCTAATAGCAGAAATATGCATATGTATGTGAATAGGCATTTATTCATTGATTCATTTATCAAATACTTATGAATACTTAATATATACAAATCTCTGTTTTGTGCTGTTTTTTTGTTTGTTTGTTTTTGGGTTTTGTTTTGTTTTTTTTTAATCAGTGAGTAAAACAAATTTCCTGCCTTCATGGAGTTTAATTTTATTTGTGCTGGGGAGAAACAAAATAAATGTTACTCTTGGTTGCTTGGTCAAGCTGGGGTCTGATAGATTGTACATCTTAATGTCATCAGTTATTTTTTTTTTTGTAACTTACTAGTATCCTCTGGGGAGATACGCTTAGTATTTGCAGTGTACAGTTTCACATTGGATAAGTTATGTACTGAGAGAGGTAGAGAATGAGAAATAGAGAATGGGTAGCTACCCATTAGGAAGGATTCGAAGCAATGACAGCCTAGCAATGATGAGCACACAAAGTTCCCAGGTCTTGATTTGTAACGTTATCCTCCACTAACAGGAACTTGAATTTCTTGGAAAAAATTGCTGGTACCAGGCCTGGGGCAAGGAAAATACATGAGAAACCCTAAAATAAGGAAGTTCCCAAAAGATAATAGGGGAATTTCAAAAAGACAAAGAACCTGTTTGAAGGGATACCCACTGACCATATCTGGGATAATTTGAGTATCAAAATAAATTATGATATAATATATTATGGCTTTTGAATTAAATAGAAATCTATGAGTTCATATAGATATGAATGAATAAATGGATAAATTATAAGAAAATTTCTTTCTTATAATGCCATTCAATAAGTTAAGGATGATAGAAATGGAAACCATTGATGTTTGGCTCAGCAGTTAGAGCATCAGCCCTTGGACCAAAGAGTCACGGGTCCGAATCCAGTCAAGGGGCATATACCTCAGCTGAGGTTTGGCCCCTGGCCCTGGTCAGGGTCATGCCTAGGGCCATGTAGGAAGCAACCAGTCAATGTGTTTCTCTCACATTGATGTCTCTCTCTTTCCCTCTCTCCCTCCCTCCCACTCTATAAAAAAATAATAATAATAAAGATGAT